TTTGGTTGCCGACCGCCTGACCATGGAAGTTCGATTTTCCATGGGAGTCCAGTTTACCATGGAAGTCCAGTTAACTATGGTAGTCCGATTTACCATGGGCAGCAGTCTGAAAACCCGGATCCGGAGCCGCATGCGCCTCTTTAAGGACTGCTTCGTGGCTTTATTTATTAAGGAGACCCCACCGTCTCGCGTTCACTCGTCTTGCAGCTCTTGAAGCATTGCATATTTTTTGTTACCGAATTAAAACAAATGCATCTTCTTGTTATGTTGGTTGCCGACCGCTGGTCATGATCCCCACTGCCACTGTGTAGCAAATTATTACGTGCCATGGACTATATCTGATGATAGGACAATAGTCTGAGTCCATTATTGGCAATAAGTAATGGAAAAACAGTTATAAGTGACTCAGAATTGTGCGCAGTTGCATATACAGTCCACGATTTCCCTGAAGGCAGCAGCACCTTCAGCGAGCGCGATGCCGATCACACAACGCGGTTCGAATTCGACCCTCGATCGATGGCTGCGCCATCGCCGCACACGCGTCGAATAAAAAGCAAGGGACAAGTCCTTACTTACTAACAACTCCTTACTTACTAACAACTCCTATCATTTGTCATTGCTGGAGGGGTTACCCCCCCCCCTACCTGTGGGATGTTTGACCATGCTTAGCCAAGCTTGGCAGTGAAGGGATTGGATACCAAGACCAATTCAGATATACATTTTCAGATTCACACTGCACTACAATGCCAACACGCGCGTTTAACATCTTGATATAGATACGCACCTTGATGGAATGGATGAGGGCAGCAAAGCCCAGGCAACAGATGTTGAAGTGATAAAAATTGAAGAGAGACCAGATGAGGTGGTCCTTGACCCCCTGTGCTGCCCCGGGCTGTGGCGAGACGGCCGGCGTGGGCATGAAAGTCAGAGCCGTGTATCCTTGTCCCATGGACCCCGCCGCATACCTGGGGTCTACGCCGCTCATGGGCACCACCTCAGATCTGTTGTCCATCGTGCAGCTCTTGGGAAGGCAGTGTTTTATGAGTAACCCGATAGGGCTTTTATATAGGTGCATGCGTGCATGCAAATACAAAAGGCGATTTGCGCTCAAGGCACTGTAGATAAGCATCGAAGTGTTGCACACTCGATATGGAGGATGTGGGCAGGTGCTCCAAATCGAGGGCACACATTTATTGTGATAATCTGTAAAATGGAACCGCACCCAATGCCACTACTGATAAACCATATTTGGCTTTACTCATAACCTTTACAATTCATTATTCGAATATTACTTTAATCGTAAACTGTATGTCTGTCTATACCATTCACTTGTATTGATATCTTACACCCATTGTCTGTACTGTATATGTACTGTACTTGTCACCATTGTACAACTTAAGACTGTACATGTGTTCTGTTCTTAATTGCATTGCAAGTAGTCATACTCTGGGTGCATGGGCATGGTTATAGAATAAACAGTATTAGGATTAGAGAATTACCAGTATTAACAACAGCACGGCATCCTAAATCCTCTCCTATTGAATATTTCACAAACTATAATTTAAAGCCAAGCTTAAAGACTAGACAATTCTATAACTTTCAAAATCAAGATTTGGGTCCTTTACCTGTAAAATGCAACAGCACGTGGTGTCACACAGCAATTCTCAACCGAGTCGCCATTAACCACGTGACTGGTGTACAGGTCAGGTTACTCAATAACCCTGCCAGCCACCTACAGGCCCAACTCAGTATCGCATGCTGGTGTACACACGTGCATTGATGTACCGCACAGCACATATGGACCTTTACAAAACCACACTTTACTCAATTGCTACACGAGGAAATCATTAAAAGAGTGGTCCATTCCCAATGTGCCACATACGCTTATGTGAGTTATCCTTTTTTGTGCATGCAAACGTTTCAAAGGAAGTCCACCCCGGAAAGCTACAATGATGACCATAAGCAGGTGGACAATTGCTTGGCAGATTATTGCATTGCAGGACTACGAGGGGATGGTGACGATTTTTGGAGGCCTTCATCTATCTAGCTGTGCATTGACCATGGCTAATGATGCTCGGCTCAAAAAGCACATTTTGACGGAAATTATTCACACTGTTTCATTGGTGGAAACCATCCTGTAGAATCAATAATTCCGATACACAGTCTTACATATACATACATATTTATGGAGCAAAAGGGACACATTTTCATTGCCTATTGAAACTAAACTTCTATACATAATGCAGCAAGTAAGCTCTGTTTTTTCTTTATTACTCATGACGTCTACACTAGGGCCTCAATTGGTCTGTGGTAGCCTTAGTGGAAATAACCAGTATAGAGTTTTAAAAGCGTTTCTTTAAAACAAAAACAAAAATTTAAACATCTAAAATTATTGGTAAAAATCGCACAATAAATGTACAATTTGAGTTACATTTCGCACTAAAATTGTATATTTGAGATATAATGTAGCATCTGTACATTTTCACCTGGATACTTGGACTGTGATCCATTCGTGGAATGCCTTACAAACAATGTCTGCCGACATTCTTCTTGCAAGCAAGACAAGGGTCTGTCGCCATCGATTCCATCTTGTCCTTCGGTATATTCTGGACCGTACTTGGATAGCCCATCTGCAATCTCCGGACCACTGGGACTGGCTGCAGCCCAGCTGTTCCAACCGCAACCTGGAATGATGCTGTTGCATGGAAAGCCCCTAACACAGAATAGCACAAATCTAAGCCCGCCTTGAACGGTGGATGCAAACAAAGAAGGGCGGCCATTTTTTAAAATCCTGAACTGGTCGAATTTGTTTTGCTTTCTTTTTTAACCAAACAGCAACTCGGGTCGCCACCTTTGAATCGAACAACATGTTGACCAAATGTCACGCATGTGTGTTGCACTTAAAGCCATACAGTCATGGTCATAGTGACATTTAACTCATCTGTTTAGAACTGCTTTTTGGTTGGCTACATACGGTGGCGAAAGAAGCTCAACATACATACATTGATGGAGGGTGAATGCCCAAAAGGCCCATATGGACCAAAGGGAGCAGGGTGTGTCTCATGAATCCTTAAGTAGTTGGTGTTATGTCCTCATGCAATGTTTGGACCTTTTAGGCATGACCAAAAATCTTGAAAGTCTAAAGAGCTGCATTTATCTAGCTTTGTGCGTGTTTTCTTCAATTAAATTACATGGATCTTTTTACGTGCAACATCCAGTGTGGCCAGTTACCCAGCTAGTTTGCAAGGGAGATCCGTGGTGCATCAGCTCAGAACAAGAATAACATCAAAGTGATACGTACAGAGGAACAAGAAACGTCTGAACAAATGTACAAGCAAAAAAAGGGTAAAGTACAAATTGACAATATAAACAGGCATATTACACCAAACACAAGGGGGAGGTAATGCGCGGGTTGGAAAGGAGATGAGTGCGAGGTGAAGCGAACTCGATTGAGCAAATAAGACTACAACCATCACGGGAACGTGAAAAATAAAAACAGGTCGGGGGACAGGAGCAGCAGCCACAAACTGTGCATTATGAGCGAGGAGTGATTTTTTTTATCTTGGAGGGAGGGGAGGTAACTGAGCCTCAGCTGAAAGAGTGAGGTGACTGGGTTCTAAATGTTTGCACAACACAGAGAAGAGTCGGCATCAATTGGTTGATTTCAAGCAGGGCAAACCTTTTATTTTATTAAGCTGTGTTTTGGTCAAACACTTTGCATAGAGAAGCGAGTGTGTGAGAGGGTGGAGGTGCGGTTAGGGAAGAAGCCACAGGGTCATATTTAATAGCAGGGGTATATTATTGCATCGATTAATCAATGTACATCCAGTCTTAAACTAAACATTACAGGCATCGAATCGTGCGTCGGAATAATGTTCTTACATGTTGCAAGTAGAGTTACGAAAGGGGTTCAGTTGTCGCAACCACGAGAGGCTGTTATATTTTGTAAAAACAAAAAAAACACAAAGCCATAATAAAGGTGTAGGGTGTTAATTGAGGGAATTGGTGAAACAATTACAGTCGGCTCGTACGCTCAGGACACTTCACATCTTGCCCGCGACAACAACAACAAACACTGTTTCACGATCAGGTAAAAGTGATTCATTTGGGCCAATGGAGCAAGCAAAAATTGCACTGAACGAGACAGAAAAACAATCGATCCGTGAAGATAATTACTACCTTCGATAACGTGCCCTGTAGTTCAACGTGGCAGAACGATTCCATTGCCAGTAGCTCCTCTCGTGTTTGTAACCCATTGCAAGCAAACACGTGACATTCTGATGAACAAAAATAAGAATAGTTTTTTTACCCTTTCTGGCAATTTAACACCAAATAGTATGTGTGGTTAATGTAGACTTCTTTGGTTATTTCGGTAAAGTCACGTAGAATGAGAATAAAATAATAAAATAACATGCTAAAATTCTCACGACGTTTCGGCCACAACGCAAGCGGCCATTTTCAGGTGAAAGGAACAGACCTGTCGGGACGACAGAGCTTCAATGAACGATGTTAGGATTCGTAGCGACTTTTAAGCTGGTTGGGAGAAGTGAGCCACCTTGACAAAGGGGTTTACATATCAAATAGCTGAGGGATTAGCTTGTGACTGGTGACAGAAATGGCTATGTTAAAGTCAAAACCTACACATCCACAGAGGCAACTAGTAATTTAGCATTGAAATAGCTAAGGGATTATCTTGTGCAAATAGTTGAGGGATTAGCTTGTGACTGGTCACAAAAATGGCTATGTTAAAGTCAAATCCTAACATCGTTCATTGAAGCTCTGTCGTCCCGAGAGGTCTGTTCCTTTCACCTGAAGATGGCCGCTTGCGTTGTGGCCGAAACGTCGTGAGAATCTTATTGTGTTATTTTATTATTTTATTCTCATTCTACATGACTTTACCGAAAGAACCAATGAAGATGAATCCTTGCAGTCACGAAAGCTTTGAATCGAAATTTAATGTAGACTTGATTCCTTGCAAACGGTATTTAATTGGTGTTTGAACATCTTAACACCTGTTTTGTTTGACAGAAAGGGTAAAACCTGTTCTTATATATTTTTTATCATTTTTCATACTGGCAAAAACGGTCCCACAGATATGTGAAGTTATTTGATCTATTCTAACGCATGTAATCTTAGGAATCAATATTAGCCCAAATAGATTTACTGATGTAATTTTATGCAATTGGTCATTTTAAACGGTTTTACAATTTACTATTAACACCGCTATTAGGTCTAGCCATATGTGTATGATCTATAATAATACGTCGAATTGCGTATTGAAATGAATATAACAATGATTAAGATGATGATGAGTAAGATGATCAACCCAGTGGCAATGATGTTGAATAATTTGGCCATCTCTCCGTGGTCCTTGGCCCCTTGTAGATCATTCACGTTCTTGCGATCTCGCGCCTGAAATGCAACAGCAGTGACATTTGCGTCAAACGGTACCCGCAAAGGCAAATGTGTAGCACTGCTGTTTCTTGCTCAACGTTGCGGCTGTGCGAAAGGGCCTGCAATGGGAGCGAGAGAGCTATAGGGAGAGCCGCTCAACTTGCATTGTCTTATTCTTCTACGCTGGCCACATGTCTTGGAATGTGTGGGAGCACCCAAATTAGTCACCACACTCGACTTGCTGCTTAACTGTGGTGCACCCATTGATACTTAAACTATTTTTTTACAATTTTTTATTTTACCAGGTAAGGTCCCCGACTGAGCTATGTAGCTATTTTTTCAGAAGCAATCTCGCGATCACAAATGATAGCTCAACGAAATGGCTTATCACGTGGACATTTATAGCAGCCAAATACTCTTGATGCATGTCGATTCTAAAATATGGAGGGAAAACCCGAAGGACCCGGTGGAAATGCCACGCGACCACGGGGAGAACACGCAAACTCCAAATATACAGGCGTCGTCAGGGTCAGGATCGAACCCACGACTGCCTGTGTACCAGATGAGGTAGTTAACATCTCGCCACCGATACTGCGAGTTTCATAAACGTGATCTTTTTCCACTGCCGTACAAGAAGATCAAAAGAACGTCTGCTGGATGACCAGTTTTGTGGCCAAACCATTACACCTCAACACACAATGAATTTGGGAAAATAATAAAATGTTAATGTTCGGCCCCTTTGTCTATTCTCACTGCCAGACGAAGCTGCCCCCCCCCCCCATGCCTTGTCGGTCAAGTGCAGAGGTTGGCAACCTGTGGCTCCAGAGCCGCATGCAGACTGCATTGCGGCCCTAGAAATATTGAGGGCTTTTTTTACCGAATTCGAAGAAAATGGATAGTCTTGTTATTTTGGTTGCCGACCCCCTGACCATGGAAGTTCGATTTTCCATGGGAGTCCAGTTTACCATGGAAGTCCAGTTAACCAAGGAAGTCCAATTTACCATGGAAGTTCGATTTACCATCGGCAGGAGTCTGCGAACCCGGATCCGGAGCCGCATGTGCCTCTTTAAGGACTGCTTCGTGGCTTTATTTTATAAGGAGACCCCACCGTCTTGTGTTCACTCGCATTGCAGCTCTTGAATCATTGCATTTTTTTAACCCAATTAAAACAAATGCATCTTCTTGTTATGTTGGTTGCCGACCGCTGGTCATGTGTACTGGCGGAGGGGAGGGGGGGTGGCACGTGCCCCCCCCCCCAATGATCTGATCGAAATTAGAGATTTCGATCGGATCATTGGGGTTTATTAGTAATAAATCGGCATTTTGCTACCCAAACTGCCACTGTGTAGCATATTATTATGTGCCATGGACTATACCTGATGATAGGACAATAGCCTGAGTCCATTATTGGCAATAAGTAATGGAAAAACAGCTACGAGTGACTCAGAATTGTGCGCAGTTGCATATACAGTCCACGATTTCCCTGAAGGCATCAACACCTTCAGCGAGCGTGATGCCGATCACACAACGCGGTTCGAATTCGACCCTCGATCGATGGCTGCGCCATCGCCGCACACGCGTCGAATAAAAAGCAAGGGACAAGTCCTTACTTACTAACAACTCCTTACTTACTAACAACTCCTATCATTTGTCATTGCTGGAGGGGTTACCCCCCCCCTACCTGTGGGATGTTTGACCATGCTTAGCCAAGCTTGGCAGTGAAGGGATTGGTTACCAAGACCAATTCAGATATACATTTTCAGATTCACACTGCACTACAATGCCAACACGCGCGTTCAACATCTTGATATAGATACGCACCTTGATGGAATAGATGAGGGCAGCAAAGCCCAGGCAACAGATGTTGAAGTGATAAAAATTGAAGAGAGACCAGATGAGGTGGTCCTTGACCCCCTGTGCTGCCCTGGGCTGTGGCGAGACGGCCGGCGTGGGCATGAAAGTCAGAGCCGTGTATTCTTGTCCCATGGACCCCGCCGCATACCTGGGGTCTACGCCGCTCATGGGCACCACCTCAGATCTGTTGTCCATCGTGCAGCTCTTGGGAAGGCAAGCGTTTTATGAGTGACCCGATAGGGCTTTTATATAGGTGCATGCGTGCGTGCAAATACAAAAGGCGATTTGACCTCAAGGCACTGTAGATAAGCATCGAAGTGTTGCACACTCGATATGGAGGATGTGGGTAGGTGGTATAAATCGAGGGCAAACATTTATAGTGATAATCTGTAAAATGCAACAGCACGTGTGTCACACGCAGCAATTCTCAACCGAGTCGCCATTTACCACGTGACTGGTGTACAGGTCACGTTATATACATACACATTTATGGAGCAAAAGGGACACATTTTCATCACCTATTGAAACTAAACTCCTATACGTAATGCAGCAAGTAAGCTATTTTTTCTTTATTACTCGTGAAGTCTCCACTAAGGCCTCAATTGGTCTGTGGTAGCCTTAGTGGATATAACTAGTATAGAGTTTTAAAAGCGTTTCTTAAAAAAAAATATTAAACTTCTAAAATATTTTTTTTAAATCGCACAATAAATGTAAAATTTGAGTTACATTTCCCACTAAAATTGTATATTTGAGATACAATGTAGCATCTGCACATTTTCACCTGGATACTTGGACTGTGATCCATTCGTGGAATGCCTTACAAACAATGTCTGCCAACATTCTTCTTGCAAGCAAGACAAGGGTCTGTCGCCATCGATTCCATCGTGTCCTTCGGTATATTCTGGACCGTACTTGGATAGCCCATCTGCAATCTCCGGACCACCGGGACTGGCTGCAGCCCAGCTGTTCCAACCACAACCTGGAATGATGCTGTTGCATGGAAAGCCCCTAACACAGAATAGCACAAATCTAAGCCCGCCTTGAACGGTGGATGCAAACAAAGAAGGGCAGCCATTTTTAAAAATCCTGAACTGGTCGAATTTGTTTTGCTTTCTTTTTGAACCAAACAGCAACTCGGGTCGCCACCTTTGAATCGAACAACATGTTGACCAAATGTCACGCATGTGTGTTGCACTCAAAGCCATACAGTCATGGTAAAAGTGACATTTAACTCATCTGTTTAGAACTGCTTTTTGGTTGGCTATATACGGTGGCGAAAGAAGCTCAACATACATACATTGATGGAGGGTGAATGCCCAAAAGGCCCATATGGACCAAAGGGAGCAGGGTGTGTCTCATGAATCCTTAAGTAGTTGGTGTTATGTCCTCATGCAATGTTTGGACCTTTTAGGCATGACCAAAAATCTTGAAAGTCTAAAGAGCTGCATTTATCTAGCTTTGTGCGTGTTTTCTTCAATTAAATTACATGGATCTTTTTACGTGCAACATCCAGTGTGGCCAGTTACCCAGCTAGTTTGCAAGGGAGATCCGTGGTGCATCAGCTCAGAACAAGAATAACATCAAAGTGATACGTACAGAGGAACAAGAAACGTCTGAACAAATGTACAAGCAAAAAAAGGGTAAAGTACAAATTGACAATATAAACAGGCATATTACACCAAACACAAGGGGGAGGTAATGCACGGGTTGGAAAGGAGATGAGTGCGAGGTGAAGCGAACTCGATTGAGCAAATAAGACTACAACCATCACGGGAACGTGAAAAATAAAAACGGGTCGGGGGACAGGAGCAGCAGCCACAAACTGTGCATTATGAGCGAGGAGTGATTTTTTTTTATCTTGGAGGGAGGGGAGGTAACTGAGCCTCAGCTGAAAGAGTGAGGTGACTGGGTTCTAAATGTTTGCACAACACAGAGAAGAGTCGGCATCAATTGGTTGATTTCAAGCAGGGCAAACCTTTTATTTTATTAAGCTGTGTTTCGGTCAAACACTTTGCATGGAGAAGCGAGTGTGAGAAGTTAGGGAAGAAGCCACAGGTTGATATTTAATAGCAGGGGTATACTATTGCATCGATTAATCAATGTATATCCAGTCTTTAACTAAACATTACAAATTAATTTTCAATGGTACAGTATATTTATTAAAGTAGTGGCATCCCAAACTCTCACGGTAGTACAGCATTTTATGCTAATTCCAAGCTTTCACAGTAGTACATTCTATGCTAATTCCTTTGTCAAGGCGTTTTCTGTTTACCCCCTCACAGCTTAAAGGAGGCGACCTGGGCTTGGCTTTCTTCACTCAAACGCTATCCTCTGGACAGTTTGGTCCCTTCACCTGATGAAGGCCACTTGTATTGTGGCCGAAACGTCGTGGTTTTTCGTTTTATTTGTTACCTACGGTGACTTTACCGAATAGAACCAAAGAGTACCAAATAGTATGTGTGGTTAATGTAGACTTGATTCCTTGCAAACGGTATCTAATTGGTGTTTGAACATCTTAACACCTGTTTTGTTTGACAGAAAGGGTAAAACCTGTTATTATTATTATTTTAAAAAATAATTTTTCATACTGGAAAAACAGATATGTGAAGTTATTTGATCTATTCTCACGCATGCAATCTTAGGAATCAATATTAGCCCAAATACATTAACTGATGTAATTTTATGCAATTGGTCATTTTAAACGGTTGTACAATTTACTATTAACACCGCTATTAGGTCTAGCCATATGTGTGTGATCTATAATAATACGTCTAATTGTGTATTGTAATGAATATAACAATGATTAAGATGATGATGAGTAAGATGATCAACCCAGTGGCAATGATGTTGAATATTTTGGCCATCTCTCCGTGGTCCTTGGCCCCTTGTAGATCATTCACGTTCTTGCGATCTCGCGCCTGAAATGCAACAGCAGTGACATTTGCGTCAAAAGGTACCCGCAAAGGCAAATGTGTAGCACTACAGTTGCTTGGTCAACGCTGCGGCTGTGCGAAAGGGCCTGCAATGAGATCGAGAGAGCTATAGGGAGAGCCGCTCAACTTGCGTTTCTTATTCTTCTACGCTGGCCATATGTCTTGGAAAATGTGGGAGCACCCAAGTTAGTCACCACACTCGACTTGCTGCTTAACTGTGGTGCACCCATTGATACTTAAACTTTTTAAAATTATTTTACCAGGTAAGCTCCCCGACTGAGCTATGTAGTTATTTTTCAGAAGCGATCTCGCGATCACAAATGATAGCTCAACGAAGTGGCTTGTCACATGGAAATCTTTAGCAGCCAAATACTCTTGATGCATGTCGATTCAAAAATGTGGAGGCACAAACCGAAGGACCCGGAGGAAATGCCACGCGACCACGGGGAGAACACGCAAACTCCAAATATACAGGCGTCGTCAGGGTCAGGATCGAACCCACGACTTCCTGTGTACCAGATGATGTAGTTAACATCTCGCACCCAATACTGCGAGGTTCATAAACGTGATCTTTTTCTACTGCCGTACCAGAAGATCAAAAGAACGTCTGTGCCCAAACCATTACACCTCAACACACAATGAATGTGGGAATGTTGGAAAATAATAAAATGTTAATGTTCGGCCCCTTTGTCTATTCTCACTGCCAGACGAAGCTGCCCCCCCCCCCCATGCCTTGTCGGTCAAGTGCAGGGGTTGGCAACCTGTGGCTCCAGAGCCGCATGCAGACTGCATTGCGGCCCTAGAAATATTGAGGTGTTTTTTACCGAATTCGAAAAAAAATGGCTAGTCTTGTTATTTTGGTTGCCGACCCCCTGACCATGAAAGTTCGATTTTCCATGCGAGTCTAGTTTACCATGGAAGTCCAGTTAACCATGGAAGTCCGATTTACCATGGGCAACAGTCTGCAAATCCTGATCCGGAGCCGCATGCGCCTCTTTAAGGACTGCTTCGTGGCTTTATTTATTAAGGAGACCCCCACCGTCTCGTGTTCACTCGTTTTGCAGCTCTTGAAGCATTGCATATTTTTTTACCGAATTAAAACAAATGCATCTTCTTGTTATGTTGGTTGCCGACCACTGGTCATGTGCACTGGCGGAACCAGTGGGGGGGTGGGGTGGCACGTGCCCCCCCCAATGATCCGATCGACCTGAAACACGGTAAGACGAACTCCTCGGCCGTGGCAGATCACTGTTTTAATTCAGTTGGCTCACATGACATTGACTTCTCCAAGACGGAGGTTCTTTGCAAGCCATCCGGCTACCATGAGAGATTCGTTTATGAGGCCATCCACATATACAAACATAGAGACAATTTGAACCGAGAAGATGGATTCTGGCTTAGTAACCATTGGAAAGATGTTATAAACCATTTCAGTTTTTAATTGATTGTATTGTACGGTGAACTTCAGACCGCAGTCCATTCGCTAGCACTGCCTCTTGATATCTTTCACACCACAATCAATGGTATGGTTTATAACATGTATAATAATAAATAGTACAGCATCGTAATGTTTAACATAATTCATAAGGCAATATATAGTATCGTAATTGCATAATGAATATACAGCAGTGTGTCATACATTAAGGTTGACAGAAAAAGACAGTGTAATATTACAAGTCTAATATTTTTATAGTCTAAAGTATAGGGTAGTGCACAGTAACGCATTGTATTACTCAAAAAAATGTCCCACTGCTCCCGTGCAGTGGTCCACCGAAAGTACCGCACCTTCAACAGAACAAAAGAATGATTAACTTAGCCCCACACCCCATCAATGTCCCCCACTTGGCCCCCGCCCTCCTTCCCCCCACCCCCTTAACCTGTATTTAAGCTCGGGGCTCTCAGAGCCTCCCCACTTGATCAGTGATCTTGCTGTGACTGTCCCACCTGAAGACGGAAGCTTGTGTTGCCTCCGAAACGTCGTGAGAATTTTTATTTTTATTATTCTATTTCCATTCTACGTGACTTTACCGAAAGAACCAAGAAGATGAATCCCTGCAGTCACGAAAGCTTTAAATCGAAATTTAAACGATCACAATCGGCTGTTTATGTGCACAATACATCAATCACATCTTGCCCCGTGACAATCGCATGTTTTTATCCTCATGTAAAAATGATTTATTTGGCCCAATGCAGCGAAATGAAACTATACAAATGAAATGGACAAAATCATAGAATCATGAATAGACTTTGCTAGCCCCATTGGCCGTGACATGCCATGTATTACATTGCGATGAAAAGTAGTATCTCTAGTAACTGCAACTCATTATAAGCAAACATGTACGACTTTCTTTTGTTCACGCTTACACGTGTAATGTTACGAACCAATATTAGCCAAACTAGATTAATAGATTATTTCAATGGAATTA